CCAGTGCCATTAGTACAGTGTCAGTGCTTTTTTTCAACACTGATCACTGTATTGGTCTCATTGGGAATGTCAGTGACACCAAGTCAGTTCCCCCCAGTGTCAGAATGCCCATTGCAGTCCTGCTAAAAGTCGCTGATCACCGCCATTATTAGTAGAAAAAAAAATCCTATTATCTATACCGCAATTAGTAAATGTTATAACTTTCACGTAAACCAATTAATTTACACGTATTGTGATTTGTTATAGCAAAGACACGGAGCAAAATACATTTTGGCCTAAATTCATGACAAAATTTGATTTTTACATTTTTTTTACTGGACATGTTTAAAGCAGAGCTCCACCCAAAATGGGAAGACCCTCTTTAAGAACTGCTCCCCATTAAGAATTGGCACCTTTGGGGGGTGGGGGGGGGGGGGAACAGGTAGCAGAATTTGACAGGTACCCGCTCCCACTTCCGGTCCGATCGCCTAGGCCCTCCCTCCCTGTCTGTAGTCTTTTGGGACATGTGACAGGTCCCAGAAGACTACAGGACCATTCATGAAGTGCGGCGCTACTCGCACATGCACAGTGGGTACCCGGCTGTGAAGCGCAAGCTGTCACAGCCGGGTGCCAACACTGAAGATGCCGGCACCTGGAATACAGGACAGCCGGTGAAACGGGCTGCAGGGGACACACCATGGGACCGAAGGACACGTAAGTGGCTGTTTTTTAAAGGTCAGCAGCTACAGTTTTTTGTAGCTGCTGACTTATTTGACAGGGTGAGTGGAACTCCGCTTTAATAGCAAAATGCCCAAAATACTGTTTTTTTCTCAAAATTGTCGGTCATTTTTTTTTATAGCACAAAAAAAAAAACCGCACAGGCGAACAAATCCCACCGAAAGAAAGCTCAATTTGTGGGAAAAATAGGACATAAATTTCATTTGGGTGCAGCGTTGCATGAACGCGCAATTGTCAGTTAAATAATGCAGCGCCGTAATGCAAAAAATGGCCTTATCAGGAAGGGGGGGAATCCTCTGCAGGGCGAGGGGTGAATGGATATGTTTTATAACAGAAAATACTGTTTTTTCTTCAAAATGTTCAGTCTTATTTTCATTTATATAACAGAAAATACCACCAAAGAAAAGCTCTATTCGTGTGAAAAAAAAACAAATTTCATTTGGGTACATTGTTGCATGACCGAGAAATTACCAGTTAAAGTAGAGCAGTGCTGAATAGCAAAACATGCCCTGGTCATGAAGGGAGTTAAATATTCCAGAGCTTAAGTGGTTATATTAATTTCCTATGATCGCCAGCTCCATCTAGTGGCCATAATGCAGTATTTTTCCTGAAATAAGAGTGAAGTAACCTACTGCGCTCCTATCTAAGTCCCAAAAATAATATTCTAAGTAAAGAAATGGAGGTACAGCTACCAACATCTAGTGATCTATACGAGAGTAATGCAAAAATGATAAAGCGCTGGTGCCAGTAGTGAGAAATGTGAAGCGCACAATCACAAATACAACATAATAAAATGCTTCATATATAGAGATAATATATCAACATTCCATAAGTATATAAACAATACAAGTGGAAACAAAAACCTGCAAAGTGATACAACCTCTCAGGCACTGCCCCATATAAAGAGGTCAAAATCATAAAGTGAAAAAATCAAAATGATGAAAAACTACAAATCTATAAAGTGCCAACAACACTCTCACAACAGTGTGTATAATATGATCCTCTTGGGTCACAAATGTGCCAAGAAAAGTCCAAATGGGACTATCGCATCTATTGTGCCCAAAATGATCCTAAATTGGATCAGGAAGTGATGGGAAGAAGGAGAAAAAAACTTTTTCAAAGAGTCCAAATGGGACTAATACATCAATAGTGCTCAAGTGCTGACAAACCCAAATGCACTTATTGCATATACATAGTTCCCCCAATCAACTGAAATACTCCAAACAATGAAAACCAAAAATACTATATAAAACACCTAAAATAACATGCGTGATGATAAATACAAAAAAAAAAATCACAAACGTGCACACAAAAAGATATAAAATAAAATCAACAGAAAAAACACATAAAACTGAATACGCGTTTACTTCAATACAAATAAAGTGTCCAGTGTGGAGAAAAAAAACACCATATATTCCTATAAGGTGAAAACCTCTCATGATGGTGGATGTTTAGGTGTGTCAGGTGACAGGAAGGTATCCAAAATCAGCTGCAATGCACGCTCACCTCCTTGTCTCGGCCCGCACAGGGCCAAAACGCTTATAGGATCGCTACACTAGATCATCCATATGTGGAACTCCTCTGGGATCTGGTCACTCTCCTCACAATGGTCTCACCTCAAGTATAGGCTTACTGGTAGTAGACCTCCTTTCCGGTGGATATGCAAATTGTGGCCAATTATTTCATCAGAAAACATAAATAAACACTTCCATAGTGTAATACCATTTATTTTAGAAAGAATAGAGTAAAATCCTCCACAATATGCACTCACATTTTAGTTCATCTTCCAGTTTGGCCGCCATATTGTTACACCCATGCAACTACACCTGATACGTGAGGTTTTGTATATCAATGCTGTGATCAAGATGAACTAAAATGTGAGTGCATATTGTGGAGGATTTTACTCTAATCTTTCTTAACCCCTTTACGCCGGCCATCCCGCACACAAATGTGTGGGCTCCCGGCGTCTGGGCCTAGACGCCGATCGGCCACACATTTGCGTTCAGGAAAGAAAAAACATATGTGCTGAGAGCATGTGCCCTGCGCGCTCCCAGCACACATGTCCGGTACTCATGGAGAGGTCCCGGCCTGCTCTTTCAAATGGGAACTTTCCCGATCATGTGAATGCCGTGACAACGCGTCACGGCGGTCACATGATCCCTAAACCATGCCCCACCCACCCCGCCTCCCGGCGTCTGAAACTCTTAAAGGGCTGGGAGGCGCCGGCGGGAAGGGGTTAAATAAATGGTATTACACTATGGAAGTGTTTATTTATGTTTTATGATGAGATAACTGACCACAATTTGCATATCCGCCCAGAGAGAAGGTCTACTACCAGTAAGCCTATACTTGAGGTGAGACCATTGCGGGGAGAGTGACCAGATCCCAGAGGAGTTCCACATATGGAGGATCCAGTGTAGTGATCCTATAAGCGTTTTGGCCCTGTGCAGGTCGAGACAAGGTGAGCGTGCATTGCAGCTGATTTTGGATACCTTCCTGTCACCTGACACACCTAAACATCCACCGTCACGAGCAGGGGCGGACTGACAACTCATGGGGCCCCCAGGCAATAGGGGATCATGGGGCCCCTGTGTCCTTGCCCACACTCAAAAAAGCCTATAAAAAAGGTACCAGGGGCATCTCATTGGGCCCCCTACTGACCCCGGGCCCTCGGGCAATGCCCGAGTGCTCGAATGGTCAGTCCGCCCCTGGTCACGAGAGGTTTTCACCCTACAGGAATATATGGTGTTTTTTTCACCACACTGGACATTTTATTTGTATTGAAGTAAACATATTGTTTTATTCATTTTTTCTGTTGATTTTATTTTATATCTTTTTGTGTGCACTTTATGTGATTTTTTGTATTTATCATCACACATGTTATTTTAGGTGCGTTATATAGTATTTTTGGTTTCCATTGTTTGGAGTATTTCAGTTGATTGGGGGAACTATGTATATGCAATAAGTGCATTTGGGTTTGTCAGCACTTGAGCACTATTGATGTATTAGTCCCATTTGGACTCTTTGAAAAAGTTTTTTTTTCTGCTTCTTCCCAACACTTCCTGATCCAATTTAGGATCATTTTGGGCACAATAGATGCAATAATCCCATTTGGACTTTTCTTGGCACATTTGTGACCCAAGAGGATCATATTATACACACTGTTGTGAGAGTGTTGTTGGCACTTTATAGATTTGTAGTTTTTCATCATTTTTGGGTTATTCACTTTATCATTTTGACCTCCTAATAAGGGCAGTGCCTGAGAGGTTGTATCACTTTGCATGTTTTTGTTTCCACTTATATTGTTTATATATACTACTGGAATGTTATTATATATATATATATATATATATATAAATAAAAAAAATATATATATATAAAATATATATATATATAAAAAATATATATATATATATATATATATAAATAAAATATATATATATATAAAATATATATATATTAAAAAAAAAAAAAAATATATATATATATATATATATATATATATAAATATATAAATAAAAAAAAAAAAAATATATATATATATATATATAAAAATATATATATAAAAATATATATATATATATATATATATATATATATATATATATATATATATATATAAAATAAATATATATATATATATATATATATATATATATATATATATATATATAAATATATATATATATATATATATATATATATATAAATAAAAATATATATAATATATATATATATATATAAATATATATATATATATATATATATATATATATAAAATATATAAAATATATATATATATATATAAATATATATATATATATATATATAAATAAAATATATAATATATATATATAAATAAAATATATATAATATATATATAATATATATAAAATATATATATATAAATAAAATACAAAATAAATATATATATTATATAATATATATATATATATAATTTCTATATGTGATGCATTGTATTATGTTGTATTTGTGATTGTGCGCTTCACATTTCTCACTACTGGTACCAGCGCTTTATCATTTTTGCATTTTTTCCTGAAATACCTCCATTATGGCCAGTAGATGGAGCCAATGATCATATGAAAAATGTGAATGACGATCACATTCGTTCAACTAATATATAAAAAAAACCTTTAAGTGGTTGTAAAATCTTCCACCACAAAACATACTCAGTGAGGAACAATTTCCTCAGGACAGGAAAGTGGCTTCTTAACCGTGTGAGATCTCTGATGTCTGGAAACATGGGACTTCACTGAAAAACATTTCCCGCACTCAGGACAGGAATACGGCTTCTCCCCCGTGTGATATCTCTGATGTTTGGAAAGATGGTCCTTCTGTGAAAAACATTTCCCACACTCAGGACAGGAATACGGCTTTTCACCTGTGTGAGATCTCCAATGTATGTAAAGACTGGACATTTGTGAAAAACATTTCCCGCACTCAGGACAGGAATATGGTTTCTCTCCCGTGTGAGATCTCTGATGTTTGTAAAGATTGGACTTATCAGAAAAAAATTTCCCACACTCAGGACAGGAATACGGCTTTTCCCCGGTGTGGGATCTCAGATGTATGATAAGGTTTGATTTTCGTACAAAAAATCTCCCACACTCAGAACAGGAAAGTGGCTTCTCTCCCATGTGCAGTATCTGATGAGTGTTAAGCTCGTACTTCTGTGAAAAACATTTCCCGCAATCAGGACAGGAATACGGCTTCTCCCCCGTGTGAGATCTCTTATGTTTGTAAAGATGGTATTTCTGTGAAAAACATTTCCCGCACTCAGAACATGAATATGACTTCTCCCCTGTGTGTGACATCTCTGATGCGTGTAAAGATCGGACTTCAGCGAAAAACATTTCCCACACTCAGGACAGGAATGTGGCTTCTCCATGTGTAATCTCTGATGTATGAAAAAATTGGACTTCACTGAAAAGCATTTCCCGCACTCAGGACAGGAATACGGCTTTTCCCCTCATGTGGGATCTCAGATGTGTGGCAAGGTTTGATTTGCGTTCAAAATATTTCCCGCACTCAGGACAGGAAAGTTGCTTCACCCCCGTGTGAGACCTCTGATGTTTGTAAAGATTAGACTTCACTGAAAAGCATTTCTGGCACTCAGGACAAGAATACGGCTTCTCCCCCGTGTGAGATCTCTGATGTGCGATAAGGCTTGATAGTTGTACAAAACATTTCCCACACTCAGAACAGGAAAAGGGCTTCTCCTTTGTGTGCAATCTTTGATGTATGGCAACACTGGCCTTCACTGAAAAACATTTCCCGCACTCAGGACAGGAATACGGCTTTTCCCCCGTGTGAGAGATCTCATATGTGTGACAAGATGTGATTTTTGACCAAAACATTTCCCACACTCAGTACAGGAATGTTGCTTCACCTTCATGTGAGTTCTCTGATGTTTGTAAAGATGGGACTTCTGTGAAAAACATTTCCCACACTCAGGACAAGAATGAGGCTTCTCTCCTGTGTGAGATCTTTTATGAACATTAAGTTGGGATTTATATTGGAAACCTTTCCCGCACTCAGTACAGGAGAACCTCTTCTCTGTTGGAAGGCCGGCCCGGTCCTGCACAGTCTGAGGTTCCTCAGGATACGAGGAATCCGATGGTCCATCTACACTGGGTGGTGCCGGATGGACATTGGAGGGAGCCGGGTTTTCTCCTGGACTATACTGTGTGATGGCCTTATCTTCTACTTTCCAGTCTGGAGACAAAGTGAGACAATCCTTGGAGGTTTTCCTCATCTCCCGGCCATGGACTAAAATACAAAGACAAAGAGGATTACTAGACAGGAGCTAAATTGGTTCCCCCCAAACCAGGACAGGGATTATAGGATGAGGGTCCCCACCCCCTCTATCACTCATCGCCATCTTCCCAACACAAGAAGTACTGCACTTCCTTATTTAGTCCATGATTAGTCATGAAGAACAGAGGGGCTGAGCCCCACCAGAGGTCAGAGAGAGTGAGGATGGGGGGAGATACAGTGAAGGAAATGCGTATTTGCTCCCCAGTTGATTTTGAATATTTGTCCTCCCATAAAGAAATGATTGGTCTAAAAATCGAATGTTCGGTGTATTGTAACACTGAGAGACAGAATACAACAACAAATTCAGCAGAAATGCGTCTAACAAATGATGACTGATCTGCATGTTCATGAGGGAAATAAGTATTTGATCCCCTACACAAAACATGACTTAGTACTTGGTGCAAATCCCTTGTTGGCAATCACAGAGGTCAGACATTTCCTGTAGTTGGCCCCCAGGTTTGCACACATCTCAGGAGAGATTTTGGCCCACTCCTCTTGGCAGATCCTCTCCAAGTCATTAAGGTTTGGTGGCTGATGTTTGGCAACTCGAACTTTCAGCTCCCTCCACAAATTTTCAATCGGATTAAGGTCTGGAGACTGGCTAGGTCACTCCAGGACCTTCTTGAGCCACTCCTTTGTTGCCTTGGCCATGTGTTTTGGGTCATTGTCATGCTGGAACACCCATGCATGACCTATTTTCAATGCCCTGGCTGAGGGAAGAAGGTTCTCACCCAAGATTTGACGGTACATTGCCCCGTCCATCGTCCCTTTGATGCGGTGCAGTTGTCCTGTCCCCTTAGCAGAAAAACACCCCCAAAGCACAATGTTTCCACCACCATGTTTCACAGTTGGGATGGTGTTCTTGGGGTCATTGGCAGCATTCCTCCTCCTCCAAACACGGCCAGTTAAGTTGATGCCAAAGAGCTGGATTTTGGTCTCATCTGACCAGAACACTTTCCACCAGTCCTCCTCTGCATCATTCAGATGTTCAGTGGCAAACTTCAGACGGGCCTGGACATGTGCTTTCTTGAGCAGAGGGGACCTTGCGGGCACTGCAGGATTTCAAGCCTTGTCGGCGTAGTGTGTTACCAATTGTTTTCTTGGTGACTGTGGTCCCAGCTGCCTGGAGATCATTGACAAGATCCTCACGTGTAGTTCTGGGAAGATTCCTCACTGTTCTCATGATCATTGACACTCCACGAGGTGAGATCTTGCATGGTGCACCAGACCTAGGGAGACTGACACTTGTTTTGTGTTTCTTCCATTTGTGAATGATTGCACCAACTGTTGTCACCTTCTCACCAAGCTGCTTGGCCATAATTTGGTAGCCCAGTCCAGCCTTGTGTAGGTCTACAATCTTGTCCCTGACATCCTTGGACAGCTCTTTGGTCTTTACCATGGTGTAGAGTTTGGAATCTGATTGTTTGATTGCTCCTGTGGACAGGTGTCTTTTATACAGGTAACAACATGAGATTAGCATCACTCCCTTTAAGAGACTGCTTCTAATCTCAGCTTGTTACCTGTATGAAAGACACCTGGTAGCCAGAAATCCTGCTGAATGATGGGGGATCAAATCCTTATTTCTATCATGAACATACAAATCAGTCATCATTTGTTAGACATGCACTTCTGCTGAATTTTTTTGTTGCTATTCTGTCTCTCAGTGTTACAATACACCGAACATTTGATTTTTAGACCGATCATTTCTTTGTGAGTGGGCAAACATTCAAAATCAGCCGGGGATCAAATACACATTTCCTTCACTGTATGGCAAAAAAGGGGAAGGGGAAAATTGAGGAAGCTAGGAAGTCCACAATATTTCACAAAAAATATAGAAGAGGCGCCACCAGAATATCTGGAAGGGTGCCACGTAAACCATATAGCAAAAACAAAGAAAAAAGAAAAAAGGCTGCACGCCTAAAAGGCTAACCTCAAAATATGTATATTGTTATAACAGTATACAAAACAACGGAGATCCAGCATTGTCCCAATCACAGAGGGCCCTGACCCCCGAAGTGAAGGACCTCCCCCGTCAGACAAAGTCAATGGTATATGTGTCTACTGGGTGTAAGCCTCCCCGATGGAAAAAAGAACTCCCCCACACACAATCCAAACTACCCCACCACCATTCTCCCAACATAGCCCACCCACACCTATACCTCACAACTCCTCCAATCCCCCAATGCTCCTCCCACAATGACCCCCCCCCCCCCTCTGGAAACAAACAAACCATCACTGGGGAATTGACTCCTTCCTCATTATCACTTTCTGTTTAAGGGTCCAAAGTTGGAGGATGTTATCACATTATTATCACCATGTAAAAGTCTGTGCTCCAATCACATCATCCGATATAAAATGTCCAGCTGGGAGGAAATGGGTGTAACAAAAGAGAATCCATATTATGTGTATATATAGCAGTGGAGGGGGGAGAGCAGAAGGGGGAGAGCAGAAGTCAGGACTATTGAAACTACAACAACATAGAGTATATAGTGCAGGGGTCAGGAGTGTGTAATGTACAACATAGAGTATATAGTGTAGGGGTCAGGAGTATGTAATGTACAACATAGAGTATATAGTGCAGGGGTCAGGAGTATGTAATGTACAACATAGAGTATATAGTGCAGGGGTCAGGAGGATGTAATGTACAACATAGAGTATATAGTGCAGGGGTCAGGAGTATGTAATGTACAATATAGAGTATATAGTGCAGGGGTCAGGAGTATGTAATGTACAATATAGAGTATATAGTGCAGGGGTCAGGAGTATGTAATGTACAACAGAGTATATAGTGCAGGGGTCAGGGGTATGTAATGTACAATACAGAGTATATAGTGCAGGGGTCAGGAGTATGTAATGTACAACATAGAGTATATAGTGCAGGGGTCAGGACTATGTAATGTACAACATAGAGTATATAGTGCAGGGGACAGGAGTATGTAATGTAATGTACAACATAGAGTACAACATAGAGTATATAGTGCAGGGGACAGGAGTATGTAATGTACAACATAGAGTATATAGTGCCGGGGCCAGGAGTATGTAATGTACAATACAGAGTATATAGTGCAGGGGTCAGGGGTATGTAATGTACAATACAGAGTATATAGTGCCGGGGTCAGGGGTATGTAATGTACAATACAGAGTATATAGTGCCGGGGTAAGGGGTATGTAATGTACAATATAAAGTATATAGTGCCGGGGTCAGGAGTATGTAATGTACAATATAGAGTACATAGTGCAGGGGTCAGGAGTATGTAATGTACAATATATAGTGTATAGTGTAAGAGTCAGGACTCATAATATTGTTCAATGAGACAAGCTGCAGAGGTTCCACACCGCTGCCTCCCATCTCCTGAGACTGAATCCATTGTTTCTATGTGTTTATCAGATGATGGGGGATCTAGGTGGAGCCTCCGTACTGCTCTCTCCTTTACAATTGTAACCCACTGAACTGTTATTACCTGCAATACACTAAAGTGAACATTCCTGTAGATGTCGGTGGCCTGCTATTCAGGGCTACTCACACTGATAGAACAGCCCTTGGGAACATGTATTTGTGAACAGCAGGACTTGGCTGATAAGCAGAGTGCCTAGGACTACATTTCCCAGAAGAGGCAGTGTGTGGGCGGGGGCATATAAATATCAAAGCCCAGGAGACTGGACAGGAGAGTGCAGAGGGAGATTGAAGGAGAAGGAGGTGTGCTGTTGGATGAAGTGCTGAATTAGGCAGCGGAGCCAGGGTTGGTGGGAGAGAGAGAACAGAAGATATCACTGAGTGTCCGGCCTTCCATGCTGCCAAGCAGGCCATGGAACACCAAGCGTGAACTCAAGGGTCCATGGACTGTCTCTATCCATCGAGAAAGAAAGATTGCCACAATCCACCAAACCATATTGATCAGGTGGGAGAGACTCACACATCCACTAAGAAAGTGAACAGTAATAGTTTGCCACCTCAGTTATCTGCTTGCACATAGTTGTGAACATTTCATCCAGTGCCCCGGTTTGTGGCCTAGTTTTACTGGCACCATTGTTGGAATATATCTGCACTAGTTATCATGTAAGCTGACTGCAGGACATACCATTGCAGTTCAAAATACAGCAGTGCCAACTACTATAAATCAACAAATCCACTTCCCTCTCTGCAGAGCAGGATTACTACTACTGTTCACCTTTTATCTTTTGACATTCAGAGGGAGTTGTCTTTCTCCCGAGACATTTATGTCAATTGTTACCATTTACTACTTCAAGCTCAATTCATGATCAGAGCTCTTAAAGGGAACTTTGCACTAATTCTTTACCATTAATCAGGGAAGTGTTGAATCTTCTCCTTTTCCCTTACTATCTCTGATGTGACCATCCTGAGAAACTATCATCCCTCCCTTGATGTAACTTTACACCAACTGGGGCCCCAGCAGGTGTGCAGAAGACATTGTAGAGCTCTTAGAGGGGACATTGCTATTTATAACTGAGAATTCTCTTCATTTCACATTTAATCCTTGTTATCTAGTTTTGAGGACTCACAGCGAGCTTATCTGCTGTTGATAGTCATTCTACAAATGTGATTTATCTGGGTCACCAGAGCACGGTGGTGTCAGCAGAGCCTGGGCTTTCATCAAAAGGTCCAGATTGACAGGGAAACCAAACAATTATTCAGCAATCCCTAAG